AAGTGAGCACGTAGATCTTCAACTGCCAAAAAAAAACAATGCTCTTAACATTGTTTATGGTGCAAGACTTAGGAAAATGGTGGTAGCTGTCCAAGCGGACTTAGAACATGCCCTACAACTAAACCGAGCAGAAAATTTTGCCCTCACTGGGAATCAAACGCAGGACCTCTCTATTTGAGACAGGTGGTTTTACCACTGGACCACTAAAGCGGTCAAAAAGAGAAGTTAGGTAAGTACGTACATAAGTATACCTAAGTTTTTTTAAGTTAAGTCCTACCTACCTCTGTTTATCCTACTTTCAACGAAATAAGAAAAACTTGATAGATTTTAAATGTACTTAAATATTTATTTATTTATTTATTGCACATAATAGATCCTACATTGTATATTGTTAGGTACTAGGTACTAACATACAAATGCACACCCGGTTGGGTACAGCAATACAAATAACAATTATTAAATATTATTAACAATTATTATAAATCTAATGTCTACCTACTTATAAATTTTATAAATATATCATACAATTGCAAGTAACTTAAAAATAGTATAATGTATAATCATTACAGTTAAAACAATATTTATTTACCAACTTAACATGAAATACTATGTTTTTCCTCCATAAATTCTTTAACATTATAAAAACTTTTACTTATTAAAAATGTCTTTAATTTATCTTTGAATAAGTGATCTTTAGGTATATTTTTTACATTATCAGGCAGCTTGTTATAAATTTGTATACAACGGTAGGCAGGACTATTTCTGAACATTTCTGAATTAGGAGTTGGAAGAAGAAGTTTGGTTTTTCGTCGGGGGTTTTGATCATGCTGAAATAGGTAAGTGTGTTTTCTGACAAACATTGCCGCTTCTAAAATGTATAAGGATGGTAAAGTTAGTACTTTCTCTCTAATGAAATGAGGTTTACAGCTGACTCTCTGTTTTATATTAACGATTATTCGTAAACACTTTTTTTGGCTTACAAATAAGTCTTTAGCATCACAGCTATGACCCCACATGATAATGCCGTAACGCAGCCACGCGTACGCGTAGGCGTAGTATGCCGTGAGGGCCGATTCTTTCGACGAATTAGTTTTTAGTACACCCAGTGCATAAAGAAATTGAGATATTTTTAATTTAACAGTTTCAACATGCTTTTTCCAATTTAAGTGGGTATCTAATGTTATGCCAAGGAGGTTAAATTCACTTATTTCTTCAATATTTATTTTTTCTGTAACTGGACTAAGATTAACTTTTTTCTTTTGGTGTGGTTTAAATTGAATTAGTTTGGTTTTTTTATTATTTATTTCTAGGTTGTGGTTTTGAAGCCAGAGTTTTATTAAATTATATGTTTTGACTATGTCATTTTTAGTATTTATTGAGCAGTTGTTTGGTATTTTGAATAGCAGAGAGACATCATCGGCATACAGTACGCTAAGAGTGTCACATATTTTAGGCAAGTCGTTGATATATATTAAAAAAAGTATACACCCTAAGACGCTTCCTTGAGGGATGGACCAGTTAGTCGTAATTAGTCTAGATCGTATGTTTTGTCTTTCGCTAGAAGATTCGTTGTAGTATTGTATCTGTACGCATTGTTGTCTATTGTTAAAGTATGACCGAAGCCACTCATGTGCATCACCACGAATACCTACTCCATAGAGTTGACACCAAGCCGTCTATCGGCGAACTAGATGTGTCGAGTTCCATAATGGGACACTAGAATTGAAATTATCTGATATCTCTCTCCTAGAGAGACAAATAGGGGACGTGAGACGGTACCGTACCTTATTAGGTCAAAATAATGTGTGTGTTATTATCTGTCTTTAATTTAACATTTGTAAAAGATCTGTGTTGGCTGAATAAAGTAAACGACAATAATTCAATGAACAAGTACCTACCATGCTTCAACAAGATGGGTACCTGATAAGACATCGTCCTTTAACACAATTAATATACGAGTTACAACGACTTACCTCTTTGCGACGCCATAATTTAAACACACACTATAGTTTTTTTACATAAGTGTCACTTTTCACAAGTTCACCAAAAATCCGTCACGGTCTGTGCCATTTTTGGCACATTCTAATGAAAATGTATCGAAAACGATGCCAATGTCTTATCGACGATTTCTTAAGAAAATATTTGTTTGCGATTACGCAGACCTGATAAGGGCTAGAGCTGGCTGATTGGAGGATTAATCTAGATTTGCGATAATATTTAATGAATCAACAGAGGTGTGTGTTATNGAGTTTTATTAAATTATATGTTTTGACTATGTTATTTTTAGTATTTATTGAGCAGTTGTTTGGTATTTTGAATAGCAGAGAGACATCATCGGCATACAGTACGCTAAGAGTGTCACATATTTTAGGCAAGTCGTTGATATATATTAAAAAAAGTATACACCCTAAGACGCTTCCTTGAGGGATGGACCAGTTAGTCGTAATTAGTCTAGATCGTATGTTTTGTCTTTCGCTAGAAGATTCGTTGTAGTATTGTATCTGTACGCATTGTTGTCTATTGTTAAGGTATGACCGAAGCCACTCATGTGCATCACCACGAATACCTACTCCATAGAGTTTTGCAAGTAGTATTTCATGGGAGACTTTATCGTAGGCTTTAGTCATATCAAGAAACAACCCTACAGCGTAGCTCTTGTCATCTATGTATTTGAGTATTTCTTGAGTATAGGTATATACAGCTAAAGTGGTTGAGCGATTTTGACGAAATCCGTATTGGTTTATATCGAGAATATTAAATTTTTCAATGAACTTGCAGATTCTATTGGCCATAACTTTTTCAAAAATTTTGGATATTGTTGAAGGAATAGCTATTGGTCGATATTGGCTTACATCTCTACCGCTTCCACCTTTTTTCAAAATAGGTTTAATTAGTACTTTTTTTAGTCTACTTGGAAATGTTTTTTCTGCAAGTGATTGGTTTATAAGTTTTGTTAGTGGTGGGGTCAATTCTTTAGCACATGCTTTGATCAAAGTCGGAGGGATTTCATCTATACCGGAGCTATATTTATTTGAAAGGTTTTTAATAATTTTGAAAATTTCTTGCTCTGTTGCGGTTTGTAGAAACATAGAGTTTATTGCAGGGGTGATTACCGGATGAATCTTATCGGGATGATGGTTTGATGAACCGTCCAGTGTTTCAGGTTTACCTATTGATGCAAAATATTCATTGAAGTTATTTACAATATCGTGTGGACAGCGAGTGGTATTCTTATTTATGTCAATACTAATATTTTTGGGAGGCTTTTTATTTTGTTTAGATGTAGTAACGCGTTTAATTATATCCCACATTTTCTTTGTTTTATTATTAGAATGAGCCATTTCATTAACAAAGGAAATCTTTTTTGATAACTTTATACATTTTTTTAATGTTTTAGAATATTGAATGAAATATTTTTTGAGAAATTTATCGTTTGAGCGATTTTTAAGTGCGCTTAGAAATCTCTTATATTTACAAGATACTCTTAGTCCATTTGTTAGCCATTTATTATGTGTGTTAGGATTTAATTTGACGCGCTTCACTGGTATTCTATGATTTAAAATTTGATTTAATGTGTCATCAAATAGCCCGTAGTTAGTGTTTATATCCGTATTATAGACCAAGATATCATTCCAGTTTATTGAACTGATGTCCGATAAAAAAGCTTGTACATTCTTTGCACTATTTAAGTGGCGCATATTTTTATAAATTACTTTTGGTTTATCTTGGGTTTTAAGTTCGAAGCTGTACAATATAGAATTATGATCTGAAATACCTAAGTCTTCCACAGTTACAGAATAAAATTTATTATTTGTGAAAAGGAGATCTATACAAGTTGCACTTGTTAATGTTTCTCTGGTAGGTTTATCAATAATTTGGTGTAAATTAAGTTCTAACATAATTTCAACAAGTTTTTTATATTCACTAGGGTTTTTCAAGGCATCTATGTTAAAATCTCCGGTAATTATTACATGTTTTTTATAGTGATGTGATTTTAACTTACTGAGTAGGCAGTCTAGAAATTCAAAAAAAGTNAAACTATTAAAATAATAAAAATAGAATGTCACAACCACGCGTTGTAATGTCACGACCATGTACTTAAATAGTTTGCGGCAGTGACACATTTTTAATACCATGGCCGTGACAATTTGGAACGTGTCCGATATATCCAAAAAACTATCTGTGAATTAGCAGATCTTGTGCAATTATCTGAAACTATACTGCATGAGGTACATAATTATGTTTAAAAACCGTACACGGGATGGACGTGTTATGGTTGTCCCTTTTTTCAAATAAATAGGAAATAATTTTTTGCGGCTCACTCACTACGTTCAGCCATTTGCAAATCTAATAAGATGACAATGTTACTGTTCTAAAAAAACTTAGCAAGACATGTCAATATCAAAGATAGTTTTTTACCGAGTAACGCATANAAAAAAGTTGTTCGGAAGGCCGTTCCAGAGCCTAAGATTTTTTGTAAATTCCTCAATACCTCGTCTTCGACTTTTCATTCTTAGAAAGGTGTACTACTTAACTAATAAAATATCTTATTGAAGACGTTCACTTCACACATCTAGGGGGATCGGCGTAGTCTCATTGCCTACTTACATAATTCTTCTAAACAACCTTTTATTGTGCAAGCTCAATGTAGCATTTTTTGCGTCAACGTTTAATTCCACAAGACAAAATAAATTAATATTTTTTCTATGTATCGCATTAATTTTATCTTTGTGCACTGCCATCTATTGTTGAATAGTACTACTAAAGATTTAAGCATGGTTGAAGCGCCATCTATTGGTGGTGGGTCAAACTAATATACAGAAGGCCATCTACCGTACAATACGTGTACCACGTTCTTGCCACTTTATGCTATTTCAGCTGGCAATGCAGATGTACAGCGCCATCTTTATTATTGTTCCGTAAACTAAGTTGTTAATTTAACGTCAAAATCGTCAAAATAGCAAAAAAAAACTTATCACCTGATTTTGTTTATTATTTTGTGTAGGTATTTCTCTACATAATTGTTACGGTAATATGAATTAATATGTTATTAATTTGTTTTTAAGTTTGTGGAAGCAAGCAATGACTGGTAGATCTAGTAGGTGAAAAATTTATTCATCGGGCAAACTTCCCAGCAGCTGGCCACATTCTCGCTGTCTCCGATTCAGCAAGTATGTAAATGTCATTTTTCTAACAAATTTACAAGATTTTTACGCTAGTTAGGGCAAACGATTAGTTTTCCATGTTTTCGGGAGTGCTTTGAACCGTGCGTAGTGAGATCTGGGGCGAAATGCGGTCGTCGGAGGAGCATAACCTCGGCGGAGTCTCACGGGCGTGCATCACGTAACGTCTAGAATGGCCCGATGGTGAGGACCGCAATGGTGCTGAGTACCGAGTGGGCGCAGGTGGAAGTCGTAGAGCTGACCAACGACGGCAACGGGCTCGGGTTCAACCTGGTGGGCGGCAGGAGCACGGGCGTCGTGATCAAGTACGTGCTGCCGGGCGGGATCGCCGAGAAGGACGGCCGGCTGCAGAGCGGCGACCACGTCCTGCAGGTCGGCTCCGTCAACCTGCGCGGCTTCACGTCGGAGCAGGTGGCGGCGGTGCTGCGCCAGGCCGGGCCCGCGGTCCGACTGCTGGTGGCGCGCCCCGCGGACCCCGCCGCGGCCCTGCGGGCTCCGCTCCCGGGCACCGCGCTCGTCCCGACCAAGCTGCTCGCCGACCCCGAGCTGCTCGACCGGCACCTGATCGAGTGCGGCTACGGCGCCGTCTACGACCTCTCCCAGTGCTACACGGACTACATCAACGGCCAAAACGGCGACTCCGAGAACATCGTAGCGGCCGCCGTCAGCGTGGTGGGCGACAACCCTCAGCAGATCCCCGACCACCCCATTGTAGCGGACACCGTCTCCCCGACCATCACCATCACTGTACCTGTAGAGTTGCCTAATTTACCTGAAGTAGAAGTAGTTCATGTGGACCTGAATAAGAATGTGTACGGGCTGGGAATCACTGTAGCCGGTTATGTTTGTGAGAAAGAGGAGCTCTCTGGTATTTTTGTGAAGAGCATAATAGAAGGAAGTAGCGCAGAGCAGAGTGGTAAAATTAAAATAAATGATAGAATAATAGAGGTGGACGGTGTGTCCTTGATAGAGAAGAGTAACCCTCAGGCTGTGGAGATTTTAAGGAATACAGGAATATCTGTTCACCTTGTGTTGGAAAGATACTTAAGAGGTCCAAAGTATGAACACCTTCAGTTAGCTATATTTAATGAGGAGAGACCATCGTCACCCTCTCCATCTACTACGACCCTTACCTGGTTCCCAGTGCCTTCCCAAGCAGAAAATAGTGTCACAGAGATAGAACCTGAGCCTGAATCTAACACTACCATAGACTCAAGTGTCTTAGAGGTGGGAGAATTAGAAGAAACCAACGAACCAACACAAGAGGAATTAGACAGGAGGTTTGATGAAATTTTAGCTGTAAGTGATGAGGAGATAAAGAAGAAATGGGAAACTGAAGTAAATGGTAAAGAGATTATTGTAGGTGAAGTTAGAAAACTAGAAGGCCTTGGCATTAGTTTAGAAGGCACAGTGGACGTTGAAGGAGGCCAGGAAGTGAGGCCTCACCATTACATTAGGTCTGTGCTCCCCGAGGGCCCAGTTGGGCAACAGGGTACATTTTTGGCTGGTGATGAACTTCTAGAAGCGAATGAGTACAGATTACATGGCTTAACACACACAGAAGTTGTCAACATATTGAAACGCCTGCCTAATCGTGTTCGCTTGGTGTGTGCAAGGAGCAGTAGTGAGAGTGGTCCACGACCGCTTATTAATTTAGCTCCAGACAGAGAGGGCTTTGAAGCCAGGAAAATTATATCAGGCAGCCTCAACAACCTGACAACACTTGTGAAAGCTCAATCTGATACTTCAATAAACACATCCAGCACAGCAACTCTGACCAACCACTCTGGTCACTCAAGAAAATCTAGGTCACTTGAGTGTGTATCAGGATTAGCTATGTGGCAGAGCAAGGAGGACATTGTGCAGCTTGTGAAATCAGACCAAGGGCTGGGCTTTTCCATCCTCGACTATCAAGACCCCATAGATCCCAATGGCACTGTGATAGTGGTAAGAAGCTTGGTACCTGGTGGAGTGGCTGAGAAAAATGGCGAGATATCGCCAGGAGACAGAGTGATGTCGGTTAATGGAGTTAGTATTAAGAATGCTACATTAGACCAGGCAGTGCAGGCGCTCAAGGGCGCTCCCAGAGGCACGGTCAAAGTGGGCATAGCCCGGCCCTTGCCTCCACATGACTCCAAGTCTAAAAGCACAACAACATTGAATACTAAACCAAGTTAATTGTAACTCCTTGTGATTACTTAACCTTACTAGTCAAAGTTTGAAGTCATATCTACTTACTTGAACTTAGGATGTGGTACATATCGGAATGCTGGTATTTCCGGTGGAACTGAAATGCTGTCTGGTAGGCAGCACTGTGCAGGTCCTATAGACTAGTCATTGAGGGCATTTTAGTGAGTGCCACAGGGTTTGATATTGCCCACATAACATAGAAAATATCTGCTTTCATAACATGTATAATTAATCACTTTTCTGATTGAATTTTAAAATTTTGATACATGCTAAAACTTTTTTTTACACCACAGTAAATTATAGTGTCTCACTATGTATTCTATGTTATGTGACCAACAATCAACATAAAGCTCACAGTTCAGTACCGAGCTCAATATCTATGATACAATAATATTTTACGCTTTACTAGGTAGATAATATTTTTTACATAAGACACATCATCATGCTCTTTTGTACTGCACACAATTTTAATGCATATTAATAACAAGGTTTTACAATGTCTTGAATTTTCCCTTATATATAATTTGTTTGTCATTAATGTAGTTTCGTATTAATTCAGTAGATTTTTATAAATTCACAATTTCAAGACATTGTAAAATATACTTATGTAATTAATAATTACTTTAAAACTTGTGCATCAAACCTTTTAACGAACATTTAGATCTTTAGCAAATCTAGTTTTAACGTCACTGACCTGTAGATACTAACCTAAGGGAACAATTGTGAATGTAACTTTATGTAAATAATTGAATCATTTTTGAATCTCATTTATTGAGGTATCTGTAAAACGGATTTGAATATGAATTGAGTTCTTGCCATTTGATTTATGTTCCCTATGTATTATATTGTACTTATTGCTATAATGTACCACAGCTTTAACATTTAACATTAAGTTTTTACTCATCTAAAGTGATGATGCCAATTTAATAGTAAACCTCAAATTAATTTAATGTTTATAGATTTTATTATACGTACGAGATTTAATAATGCTTTAAATATCCCACTCACAAATTAACGAAAATGTATACTAATATACATGCTTGATTAAATGGAATATACCTTTTACAATTAGTGAAATGTTTAAGCCTTTATTTGAGTGGGCTATTTTTCAGCTGTATTACAGGCGCCGACTGTGGGATGCCTGATAGGTCATTCTTCATTGATCATTTACCATTTATACCTGTTACATTAATCCCTAGTTATTTAAAACCGCCTTAAAAATATTTGAAAGTAATCCCTCATAAGTCTTTACATTTTAGGAATGTATTCTACCACGCCTTCAGTTCGGGCGGGAAAAATAATTTCGCTTTGAATTGTATGATGAATCTGCATGTCATTTGTATGGGGTTTTAGTAGGGATTAAACCCTTATGTTTATATTCTCCCTTCATTCGTATTAAGTTATTTTTGTTCTGAAAGGCATCAGACTAATGTAAAATGAATCAAAACAGTCGGTGCCGGTAAAAGCTGACTGCACTATTTAGGGAGCACATGTGATATGAGTGTTAAATAACTTTAAATCTGACTAATGTTGTCGTCGAATAGTCATGTCTAATAGAGATTGCAATCCGGATTATTCGAAATTCGAAAATATCTGAAAAATCCGGATTTTGAGGCTATAAAAAAATCCGGATTTTTACTTTGAAATCCGGTTTTTTCGAATATTTTACCCCAAAAATTTTATCATAAAACCATAAACCAAAATATCTATTGAATGCAACATGGATGCAAAACAAGCGAAGTTTTGATTGAACTTCGTCGCACAATAACGCGATATGCCGCATGCGTAAGTGAATTCGCTAGTCGGCTAGTGAGTTTTATACGAGACGCTGATTCTGAAACACCATATCGCTGAGTTTTAAAGAGCAGCTAAATCGGCAAATATCCCTTGCAAGTGTAAGTCATCATCATCATCATCATCTCAGCCATAGGACGTCCACTGCTGAACATAGGTCCCCCCAATGCTTTTCATGTTGCCTGGTTGGTAGCGACCTGCGTCCAGCGCCTTCCTGCTACCTTTATGATGTTATCGGTCCACCTTGTGGGTGGACGTCCCACGCTGCGTTTTCCGGTACGCGGCCTCCACTCTAAATTCAAATTATTTATTGCATGTCACTCCAGAACCTTGCTGCCCCATCGGCCGTCAGTTCTGCGTACTATGTGCCCTGCCCATTGCCACTTAAGCTTGTATCCGTCGGGCTAGTATGTCAGCGACTTTAGTTCGTTTACGGATCTCCTCATTTCTGATTCGATCTCGTAAAGAAACACCGAGCATAGCCCTCTCCATAGCACGCTGTGCAATTTGAGCTTCTGTATAAGGCCTATAGTGAGAGGCCACGTTTCCGAACCATAAGTCATCACTGGTAACACACATTGGTTGTAGACCTTAGTCTTCAGGCACTGAGGTATTTTGGACTAAAAGATGTTGCGTCGTTTCCCAAACGCTGCCCAGCCGAGTTGGATTCGACGATTGACCTCTTTCTCGAAATTGGACCTACTCAGCTGAATCGTTTGTCCGAGGTAGACATACTTGTCAACAATCTCTAGAATTGAGCTCCCAACCGAAACTGGGTAGGGCGCAACATGGACATTGGACATAAGCTTTGTTTTCTCCATATTCATCCGCAGGCCAAGTGTAAGTAGAGATCTTCAACCTCGCCCATCTAGTTCACCCAGCGGATTCGATTTGCTTACATTAATTCATCTCGAAATGTGAATATGAGAATGGGGGTGATTGTGGAGAAATCCTTAAAAGAGTTCTAAACAGGTTGTTGGCTATACCGCCGACCATTTAGCTGGGTTGATGATGGAGTCAAGAGGTGACCATAGGAACTCTTAAACGAAACGGCGGAATCGCATCGAACTTGGGTTCGTTGGATTTGTCTTTTGGAGCAATTTAGTGCTAAATGATGCCCAGGGTCCTGATGATGGATTCGGGAGGTGGCCATAGGAACTCCTAAACGAAACGGTGGAAACTCATCGAATTTGGGTTTGTTGGATTTGTCTTTTCAAGCACTTAAGTGCTAGATGATGTTCAGGGTCCTGATGATGAAGTCAGGAGGTGGCCATAGGAACTCTTAACCGAAACGGCAGAAACTTATAGAGTTTGAGTTCGTTGGATTCGTCTTCCCGAGCACTTTGGTCGTAAATAATGACCAGGGCCCTGAGATTGAAATACAACTTAAAAGTGTAAAATAAAATTATAATAAAAAAATTAGCTCCCCTGGCCTACCTGGAAATCTTTATAGACTTCGGACAGGTCTGCCGTAGTAAGGACAATCTGTTCAGGTGTCAGGTGGGGATTCTTGGATGGATCAAACTTGGAGTGCAAGTGTGGTTTTGTTCCCCAGTCGACGAAGCACATGATGTCGTGCCCTGCGTGCCCAAACAACTGCAAGCAGGAAGATTTAATGAAGGCTACTGACAACGCCACTCTTGTGGCGGAGTTTTGGGCTGACGCTGTGTAGGTTTGTTGTCGACACGACAAGAAGAAGAATAAAAAAAATATTTTATAGGTACAAGCAAGTTTTTATTCTGAAATGCAGTTGTACTAAAACGAAAAAAATAATGCAAAGTTCAAATAATTTCGAAAGCTTGTAGCGCAAACCGAAAAAAAGAGGAGTAAATTCCATGCGCGTTAATAAAATAAAACGCTTTTTTTCAAATACTTACATCTTTTTGAAAAAAACTACGTTTTATTTAAATTAAATTGATGGTTTAAAAAAATTACCCAATATTCGAAAAATCCGGATAATCCGGAATTGTACGTAACACAAATCCGGAAAACCAAATTTGCAATCTCTAATGTCTAATCTCGTTATAATTTTATTGCATTGAAATGGACAAAGTCTATAAATAATAATAATACTCCGCCATGATGCATTTATTTTTAACGATCTCAAAATTTTGAAAGTATTTTAGTCACTTTTCGATCTTCTCAATGCCTTATCTAATATAAATGCAAATATACATTCTAGAGAATATCCTTCGAGACACTGTCTCGGGCAGTATCGAGTAGGGCATGAATATCGGAATCTCGGAATCTCGTAATATCGGAATCTCGGACTGCGAGATCCGATATTTCAATTCCGATATTGAGCGACCCAATATCGTAATATCGGAATCAGATAAAAGTTTTAATTGAGATTTTAAACAAAGCATTTAAACTCTCCACAACCTGCCACAAAGCCCAAAGTACATTATTGGCAAATACCAATGATTTTCTCATGTCTCTCACTATTACTTTTTGTTCCACTGCAAATATTTTAATATCTTTACTATTTATGGTTAATTTAACTTGTTCTAAATCAATTTTAGCATTTGCCATACGTACTTGGTCAACAAAGAACGACATCTCAACTCCCTTTCATACATTAATTTTACTTTTATGGACCGTCAGTTCTGCGTACTATGTGCCCTGCCCATTGCCACTTCAGCTTGCTAATCCGTCGGGCTATATCAGCGACCTTAGTTAGTTTACGGAGCTCCTCATTTCTGATTAGATCTCGTAAAGAAACACCAAGCTTATCCCTCTTGTTACCTTAACACGTTGTGCGGGTTGTGCCCTATATTCAAAGGCCACGTTTTCGAGCCGTATATCATCACTGGTAACACACACTAATTGAAGACTTTCGTCTTCGTATTCGACGATTTACCTCTTTCTCGAAATTGCATCTAACTATCTAGCTGATCGTTTGTCCGAGATAGACATACTTACTTGTCAACAATCTCGAGAATCGAGCTCCTAACCGAAACTGGGTAAGGAGCAACATGGGCATTCGACATAAGCTTCGTTTTTTCCATATTCATCCGAAGGCCTACCTGTTGGGAAACTCGATTAAGGTCTTCGAGCTTTGTGATAAGGTCTTCCAACGGCTCTGCCTTAGTACGCAAAACAGACGGACGAAGAGGCAGCAAGGTTCTGAAGTGGAGGTCACGTACCGGAAAGCGCAGCGTAGGACAAGGTGGACCGACGACCTCATAAAGGTAGCAGGAAGGCGCTGGATGCAGGCCGCCACCAACCGGCTATTGTGAAAATCAGCATCGGAGCATGTGTTCAGCAGTGGACATCCTATGGCTGACATGATGATGATGATGGCTCGTGGTTTTGTGAGTTGTACATCGATAATATAATCAAAAAGGAACAAATTACAAGCATATTCAAGATTTTTACCACTCTCTACAATTTTTGTAACACGTGATTTGAATGACTCTAAAATTCGTTCCGCCAACATAAAACAGGGTAATATAATGAAGGAGTAAAAGTTTGTTTGATACCTGTGATTTTATAAAAACACTTTAATTATTTGCTAGTCCATTTAGGCTCATTTTCAGTAACCATTCATTATCAGGTGATCCGTCTGCTCGTTTGCCTCTTGTCACATAAAAAACCAAATGCAATGGATGCCCATAACGTAAAAATATAACCAAATATTAATTTTATAGCACATTAACTCAATTCCGATATTAATATCGGAATTCCGATATTGAGATCTAATATCGGAATCCAATATCGGAATTGAAAACCTTCCGATATTACATGCCCTAGTATCGAGTGAAAACTAATATTTAATTCGATATCAGAATTTCGTGTCTCGGAAGTCTCAGGGGAGACTGGATCCGCCGCCACTTATACTCGAGTCTCTTGTTTATACAAAATAAATGGGACTTGTTATTGGGGCATCAATTTCGACCTCGTGCCGATTTATAAGCGCTGCTTTTTATTGATTCCTGATCTTCGAAGCAAAAGCTTGCTATTTAAAATTAAATCCAACATGAAATAACTCTGCGAATTTGCGGTTGTAACTTAGATATACTTAGATTTAAATCTCACGTCACCGATATCTTCCCAACCACCGCACTCCTTGGCACCACCTAAAGATGGCCGTTGTGTTCAAGGGAGCACGCGTAGTAAATACAGCGTGATTCTCTGCAAACAGCGGTCCTAAATGTATAGTTCACGTCATAGCGATAGTATTTCCAATTGTGAATAATGTACATGTTAAATCCTGGCATTGATTAATCACATGCAATATCTATTTGTATCTGAAAGCTTTATTTTTACAAATACGAATGTACAAAATATTATATTATATTTTACTGGTTGTTTTGCTTGAATGTTTAACAATTGTTTGTATTTTAAGCATTTGTATTATGTTTGTACTTAATAGTTATGTTCATGTAATGAAAGTAATTATATTTTCTACTAAATGTGTTGATTTTAAGAGATTTTTTATTGTGATAAAGCCACAGCTAAGTTTGTATTTATCTAATCAGTTTCATTTGCAAAATGTAACTAAAGTACAATTAATAACTTTACTCGCATTTTCTTCTTGTTTCGCTTCAGCCATACATTACACATTTCTGAACATATTTCCGTACCAGATAGAGATGTATGTGTAATAAAATTTTATATTTTTGTATTCGAATAAGCCTTCTAGGACGCCAATATAAAAGAACCTTTACACGTAATTTGAAAAGAGAAGTGTCGTAAAATACGTATTATTGCGTGACATCGCTACGTGATCACGCTGTATATACCTAGCAGTT